GCCCTGCCCGCGGGGGACACAAACAACAACGTCAGACTTAAAACACTTAGAAATCAAATCAAATAATTTTCTTTACATACAAAGTAGCAATAATACATATTAAACACACAAGTAAATAATGAAAACAAATCAAAGTACCGTGGCGACACACACACACATTACGCATTTACTTACGAAACCTGTACATCTTTTCAACAATCATGGAGGGTCTTTTATTTATATACAATAGGTTTACGAGCTTCGAACCTTCACAACGAGGGATGACCGAGGAAAGATGTACAGGTTTGGTGAGTGGATGAGTGGCGAGTGGCGCACCCTGCTCATCCCAGTCAACCTCCTCTTGGTTGTTCTTGCATGATGGTGTTAGATGGACTAACTTATATGATATATAAGATATACAAGTTAGTTATTAGTATATATATAACATATATATATATATATAGATATATAAGTTAGTTACCCCGCTTATCTATGGAGCTATGTTGAAATTAATTATATATACTGGTCCTTGGATTCGTTTGGGACATCCAAGGAGTATAATTCAATCCTTCCTGGTGCTTTAGGATGTATGACAAATATAGCACAATCCTTCCTGGTGCTTTGGGACATCCCACAATTATACTACAATCCTTCCCATGGAGCGCCTGACAAACACACACGCTGTACCAGAACGAGACCATGATCTCAAATCCCGACAAAATGAATTCCGATTCTATCGTAAATAATCTCTTGCATCTGTACCTGCCCGCAGACCCTAGCCTGTTACAGTCATGCCTCGGGTTCTGAAGGGCAATTAGAGAAGATGGAGTGTCACTCACTAGCTGATACAAGCATTATGTTACAAAATATACAAGTCTCCCAAGCTCCGGAATTTTGTGCTGGCTGGAAAGCATTCTATAATTGCTGAGCCCTCTAGGCAATTCAGAGTTCTGTTGGTAATGGGGTTGTTAACAGGTAATTACAGCCATTTACACAATTGTGTGAGAATAATAATCAAGCATTTTAGGGGAATTTTAGGTACCCCCTTAATGCAGCTTCCATGTTCTTTTATCCCAGCACGATGGATATATATGAGAGAGAGAAAATCCACGAGTTTCACAAAAAATGTACCACAAATAAAACTCACCAAAGATTAAATATCCATGCAAGACATTCACCCGAGGAAAACAACAACTAGGGACAAACACAAAAAAGTACAAAATATACACCAAGCATTCACATTAATGCACATAACTCGCACAGAAGCACAAACATACACTTTCTCTCTCTCTCTCTCTCTCACACACACACACACACAAAAGTAATTCAAGACGGTGGCGTAAGGAGGAGTTACCGAAGACGCATCGCGCCTAACAACCGGCCACGCCTCACATAATCACCCTCCACCAAATTGCCTTCTAATCTCCTGTGTGTGTTGTCTTCGTCAGAGTATCTCATGAGCCCATCAAGCTGGCAGGAGCCATCGCTAACAGACGACGATGTTCATCAGGCTTTTATGAGGTACCTCACTGCTCCATCAACCCTTACTCAAGGCTCCATCTCCAACCAACACACAACCTAACCACAACGTCCAACCAACACACAACCTAACCACAACATTCTACCAAAACACACACAAGTTAAGCACAACGTTCTAACAACATTGTATAACTCTACTGCACTATCAATGTTGTGTCAATATTATTGACAACGTCCAACGTCCAACCAACACACAACCTAACCACAACGTCCAACCAACACACAACCTGGCCACAACATTCTACCAAAACACACACAAGTTAAGCACAACGTTCTAACAACATTGTATAACTCTACTGCACTATCAATGTTGTGTCAATGTTATTACGCTTTAGCACCGTGGAGGTTACATCTAGGCTCTGATGACTAAGAGTACAAACTGAGGGCTTCACCAGTAGGATGCCGCCATTATAGTCTACTGGATCAGGAGCCAGTCCAGACCCACTCATCACCTGTCTGGAAACCGGGCATTATGTTCCACAATTACGACGTCCTCCCTGTGTCCACTCAGACGGGTTCCAACAACCAGGCCCCACAACCCAATTTTTGGCTCGGTCCTGTAGGGTCCAGCGGCCGGCCGCACAGCACCTCACTCTCGCCTGTCACTCTCCCCGGGGGATAACGCTATCATGACCCTGGACATCCTGACAGTACTAATTTGGGGAAAATAGTAAATATTAGAGTGCCAGACGTGCCACAAGATGCTCAACATTTCCTCTATATAGAGTACTTAACAACCAGTAATTCAACTTTCTACTTGTGGTATCGCTCTGATATCTAGTGATATAAACATTATCTTTTAAGGAAGACTTATTGGTCTTTGTATCGCGCGCATGCACTCGCGCACACACACGGACAAGAATACACACACACACACACTGGCACTGAACTACAGGCCAGTGTCCTTAACTGGTATACCATGCAAGGTTATGGAGAAGATTGTGAGAAAACCTAGTAACACATCTGGAGAGAAGAGACTTCGTGACAACCCATCAACATGGGTTCAGGGAGGGTAAATCTTGCCTGACTGGCTTAATAGAATGCTACGATCAGGTGACAAAGATTAAGCAAGAAAGAGAAGGATGGGCGGACTGCATTTTTTTGGACTGTCGGAAAGCCTTTGACACAGTACCCCATAAAAGGCTGATGCATAAGCTAGAGAAACAGGCAGGAGTAACTGGTAGGGCGCTCCAGTGGATAAGGGAGTACCTAAACAATAGGAAGCAGAGAGTTACAGTGAGGGATGAGACCTCAGATTGGCGTGAAGTCACCAGTGGAGTCCCACAGGGCTCTGTGCTCGGACCTATCCTGTTTCTGATATACGTAAATGATCTCCCAGAGGGTATAGACTCATTCCTCTCAATGTTTGCTGACGACGCCAAAATTATGAGAAGGATTAAGACAGAGGAGGACAGCTTGAGGCTTCAAGAAGACCTGGACAAGCTGCAGGAATGGTCGAACAAATGGTTGTTAGAGTTTAATCCAAGCAAATGTAATGTAATGACGATAGGTGTAGGGAGCAGGAGGCCAGATACAAGATATCATTTGGGAGATGAAATACTTCAAGAGTCAGAGAGAGAGAGAAAGACCTGGGGAATGATATCACGCCAGACCTGTCCCCTGAAGCTCATATCAAGAGGATAACATGAGCGGCATATGCCAGGTTGGCTAACATAAGAACGGCCTTTAGAAACCTGTGTAAGGAATCTTTCAGAACATTATATACCACATATGTCAGACCAATCCTGGAGTATGCGGTTCCAGCATGGAGTCCATATCTAGTTAAGGATAAGACTAAACTGGAAAAGGTTCAAAGGTTTGCCACCAGACTAGTACCCGAGCTGAGAGGTATGAGCTACGAGGAGAGACTATGGGAATTAAACCTCATGTCAGTGGGAAACAGAAGAGTTAGAGAGGGCATGATCACCACATTCAAGATTCTCAGAGGAATTGATAGGGTAGATAAGGAAAGACTATTTAACACAAGGGGCACACGCACTAGGGGACACATGTGGAAATTGAGTGCCCAAATGAGCCATAGAGGTGTTAGAAAGAATTTTTTTCGGTGTCAGTAGTAGACAAATGGAATGCATTAGGCAGTGATGTGGTGGAGGCTGACTCCATACACAGTTTCAAGTGTAGATATGATAGAGACCAATAGGCTCAGGAATCTGTACACCAGTTGATTGACAGTTGAGAGGCGGGACCAAAGAGCCAGAGCTCAACCACCTTGTTTTGTTTGTTTCCCTTTGCCAGGGACCGCACTCCGCTGTGGCGTCCCCGACATTGTGCTCTGCTCCGGTGTCCGCGACACCGCGCTTTGCTGCGGTGCCATCGACACCCTGCTCTGCTCAGGCGTCCCTGACTCCGCGCTTTGCTCAGGTGTCCCTGACTCCGCGCTTTGCTCAGGTGTCCCTGACTCCGCGCTTTGCTCAGGTGTCCCTGACTCCGCGCTTTGCTCAGGTGTCCCTGACTCCGCGCTTTGCTCAGGCGTCCCCGACTTCGCGGTCTGCTCAGGCGTCCCTGACTCCGCGCTTTGCTCAGGCGTCCCTGACTCCCCGCTTTGCTCAGGTGTCCCTGACTCCGCGCCCTGCTCAGTCGCCGCTGCCACCGAGCTCTGTGCCGCATCTGGTTGTACCTTGGTGCCATGGACAGTTTGTTTGAAGACATTAGAAATTGCTATGCAGGCATTTATTAGTGATTCTCTGTTTTCGGCGGGAGTTTTATCCAGGATTACCATCATCTTCAAAAAAGTTACATCATCCCATTGCAGAGCCAGTACACAGAGTGGTCACTGGGACCATTTCTCCTTGAATTATTAGTCATGTTGGCACATTTTTTTGTGTATGGCGGCTGAACAGAGTTGGCATTGAATGCTCTGTTGGTAATCTACCTTCATGTTGCATTCTATGCACGTTTTTATCAAAGACATTTTTGTTGAACACTTCTGTTCAGTGGTGGTGGTCTTACAAGGTGGGGTGTTGACCGATGACCCAGACAGCTTCTTTATGAGTGACATTCAAGCTGCAGATAATTTAACGGATATTACCACAAACTCGGAAGACTTTGAAAGAGAAATTGACAATGTGCCTATGCACATATCCTGACTCATGGAATTCAATATTCATAAAGTACTATTAGTAAAGTACCAGTATCGAGAGCACTCAACGTAATATGGAGAAAGAGCCTGGATACAGGGGAGATACCCGCAGCACTTAAATCTGCAGATATAGCTCCGTTGCACAAGGGGGGAAGTAAAGCCTTGGCAAAAAATGAGAGGCCAGTTGCACTAACATCACACATAATAAAAGTGTTTGAAAGAGTGATTAGGAATCGAATTTCTAGTTTTATGGAAAACAATGAATTGCACAATCCAGGACAACATGGATTTAGAGCGGGAAGATCCTGTCTGTCACAGTTACTCAACCACTATGTCAAAATCACAGAAGCTCTAGAAGAAAAGTAAAATGCAGATGTAGTAT